AACAGTGGGTCTCTCCTCGTTCAAAGCAAGGAAGAATGAAGAAAACCAAAGATTCACGGAAACAATTAGTCCAAGTGATTGGTACATGATGTGATTCTCAACCTATATGACTATGAGGCCAGAAGAACTAGATAGTGCCTGGTGACCACTGTCAATCACTCAGAGGGTGAACTATGTAGGAGATCCTGGATAGAGAGGGTAAACAATATGGAACAAAACTCAGAATCATTAAAAAAATAAAACTTAAAAAAAAGACCATGTTTGCTGGTCTGACAGAGCCTGGTGGAACCACTGAGACTATGGTCCCGAGCTGCCCTTCTGGTCTAGAATTGAACCCACACCTGTGGCTCCCAGCCAAACAAAAGACAGGCATATGAATTGAACATTTACGTAAGGTAGATTCACTCCTTGGAGAGAACAATCATGGGAGAAAGAAGGGCTGTTTATGCACAGGGGGACAGCTCAGGGGGCAGGAGTACATGGAGGGATGGACACAGGGAAGAGGTAACTATCAGGAGGAAGTGGGAGGGGAGCTGTTGCACTGAAGTAAATTGTAGTCAATGTCATGAGATAAAGTGTGTGTGAACTGCTGTATGGAAAGTGAAAGTGAATTTGCTCTGTAAACTTTCACCCAAATCACAATTAAAATATATATATATATATATATAGGTTTTTGTTTTACTTGTATTGCAACTTATACAAAATGGCTAAAAAAACCCCTTAAACAGCTTCCCCTTGTACAGAGAAACAAAATCCAGACTCTTTGACCTGGGCTCTGCAGCCCTCCCTAAGCTGGTCCTTGTCTGCCTCTCTGATTCCCTATTCTTCTCCCATCACTCCTGAGGCTCTAGTCATACTGCCCTTCTTCCTGCTCCTGCCATATGCCACTTTCTTTCCTATTTTACAGCTTCTCTATATTATACTATTCCCTTTGGTGGTAATGCTCTACTTTCCACTCCTTTGCTTGTAAAATATTTTTGTTTCACGGCAATGTTAAAAATAAATAAATAAATAAGTGATACAGAAAGGTACAAAAAGAGTAGACACCCCCTCTCTCACTGTTCAGGGTTCATTTTAAAAGTCACCACCCCAGAGAAGACTTTCCTTCTTGCTCCTTAATCTAAAAAAGGGTTCCTTGTTATAATTTTCCATTTAACTTTTTATTACATTTTCATTTGTTCTTGGTTGCTGTCAAGTCAGTTCTGACTCATGGCAATCTATGTGTGCAGAGTAGAACTGCTCCACAGGGTTTTCAAAGCTGTGACCTTTCAGAAGCAGATCAGCAGGCCTATCATCCGAGGTGCCCACAGCACCACTGAAATAGTGATATATCCATGTGACTTTGGCTTCACTAGCTTTGCATCCATGAGAATTGGGACCAAGTCTATCTTATTCTTGATCTTCGGCATAGTGTAGGTTATAACAGGTGGTCAGAACTCTTTGCTGGCACCCCTATGTGGTCTTACTCAGTCTTACCAAGTCTATTTTTTAGGAAACAATCACACAAATCAAGAATGCAGGACATTTTATAAGCAATTGGCCTAAATTTTTCAAAAGTATCAATGGCATGATATACACAAAAAAGGCAAGATATATGTTTAGATTAAAACAGAATAAAGAGAAACCAAATGCAATGTCTGAATCTTGATTAGATTTTGGTTAGGAAGAAAAAAACTATATAGAACTTTACTTAAGAGTACTTGGGGAAAGTTGAATGTGGACTGTGTATCAGACATTACTGAATCCATGTGCAATTTCTTGTATGTGATCCTTATATTATGGTTAAGCTGCAGAATGCCCTTGTTTTCTGGAGATACATCAAGTATTTAGGAGTAAAATATCATTATGTTTGTTACTTCTTTTAAAATAATTCAGTAATACAAAGAACACTGTTCTACCTCCTACTTTGGCAAGTAGCGACTGGGATCTTAAAAGCTTGCAAGCTGCCATCTAGATGCAACGATGGGTCTCTCATCGTCCAGAGCAAAGAAGAATGAAGAAAACCAAAAATTCATGGAAACAATTAGTCCTAGTGACTAGTACACCATCTGATCTGCAGCCTATACGACTATGAGACCAGAAGAAGTAGATGGTGCCCGTCTACCAATGTCAACCACTTGGAAGGGGATCTATGTTGGAGATCCTGGATATAGAGAGAGAACAATGTAGACAAAACTGAAAATCAGTTGGAGAAAACAAGGGGGGAACCAGGTTTGCTGGTCTGATAGAGACTAGTGGAACCACTGAGACTATGGCCCCTAGCTGCCCTTCAGGTCTGGAATTGGACCCACACCCGTGGCTTCCAGCCAAACAAAGGACAGGCATATGAGTTGAACATTTGCCTGAGGTGGATGTACTCCTTGGAGAGAACAATCGTAGGAGGAAGAAGGGCTGCTTATGCAGAGGAAGACAGCTCAGGGGGCAGGAGTGCATGGAGGGATGGACACAGGGAAGAGGTGACTGTTGGGAGGAAGAGGGAGGGGAGCTGTTGCATTGTGGTAGATTGTGGTCAATGTCACGAGACAAAGTGTATGTGGACTGCTGTATGGAGGGTGAATTTTCACCCAAATCACAATTTAAAAAATAAATAATTAATTCAGTAAAAATAAAATGTGTGTATATGTTTGTGTGTGGAGGAAGAGAGAAAGAGTGGGGAAGGGAGCAGAGAGAGACTAAGAGAAAAAGCAACAGGGAAGAATATTCATTGTCATACACATGAAGGGTATATGGGTATTCACTATATTTACCCCCAATTTATCTGTAGATGTTAAAGTTTTAAAAATCAAAAAGTTTGCTGAATGAATAAAATGGCACTAAGAAAACCACCTTCTCTGGCTTCCTTCCACTCTAATACATAAGCAAATATTAATGAAAGTGGCTACTTTAGAGAAAATAAAATGCCCCCAACGGCATAACCAAGACTGAAGTTTATCCAGTTTTCCTAGTAATATAAACAAAATCTATCCTGTACTAATTTTTTTTTTTTATTTTTTAAATCTTTATTGTGAATTGGGTTAAAGGTTACAGAACAAATTCATTTTCTACATAGTACTTCATATACATTTTGTTTTACATTATTGACTGCAATTCCCCACAATGTAACAGCTCACTTCCCACCTCCTCCCCATAGTTACCTCTTCCTTGTGTCCTTCCCTCCCATGCACTCCCACCCAGCAAGCTATCTCCCTGTGCAAACACTGCTCTTCTGTTCTCTCATCATTGATGGCTCCAGGGAGTGTATCTATCTGATGTAAATATTCACCCCATATTACCTTGCACTAGTTTTTAATAATGCCATTTATTCTCACTATGCTTCTCTTCCATGATGACATTATATTAATTTAAGGAAAAAGCTTACAGATGAAGGAGTTAAAATTCATACTGAAGAGTCTGGCCAAACTCAATATAAAACCATGCTCAAGAAGGCGGCTAGTAGAAGATGAGGCAGACCAAATGCAAATCATTACAGAGACCTAACTACTCACATGGAGAAGCAGCACAGCAGCAAGAAATGACTGGCCCTGGCAATAACCAATCTCTTCATCATACACAGAATAAGCCTGGAAAAAAACAGTAAGAGATGTAAATGAACTGTCACATATGAGCCATCATTGCCCCACAGGTCTTGAATATACAAGATTTTGGTAGATGTGATCCACTGTGGCACTTTGATGGTCAATGAAAAATGCCATATCTCTCTGTAATCTCAGTCTTTTCTTTATAATAAACAGAAGTTACACCACACCACTTTCTATGAACAAGGGGTAGGAAAAGTCAAGCAAAATCTAGTTCAAGCACTAAAAAAAAGGTTCTCATATTTCCTTGTCTTTGTTCATGTTGTTCCCTCTGCCTGGGATGTCCTTTTTTCTCTTCTCTGCCTAAAAACCCAGTCCCCTTCTTCAATCTATAAACATACTCCAGTTCTACAAATTAATTCCTCTCTTGTCTGTGCTTCTATGGCACTTGGTATACACACATGGTTATGATGCATTTTGTACGTCCATCTTCACTACTGCATTGTAAACATGAGGACTGGGGTGATGTCCTATTCAACCTAGCCAGCACTCACTGTAAATGATACTCATTTTTCTTTCTGGGAAAAAGTCTTTTGGCAAAGACATCCAAATACAATTTTTTCCACATGCCAATAATAACTTTTCTGATAAGAGAGATAACTCTGAAACCATTTGTGGGTTCCTCTGGAATTCTTATTTTTCATTTTTTTGGCAGCAGATGATTACTACTCATCTTCTCTGAACATTAATAGAATATTACACATCTAACATTCTTCATGGTTTGCTCTTTGGTTTTGTAGTTGTTTTTAACAGTCTTGTTTTTATTATCAATATTTATAATTTTCATGTAAGTGTGGTGCAAGGGGAATTCCTATAGAGTCAGATATTATTGCTTATTTGACAAATTCATTTTTGGTGAAACTTCTTTTATTCTCTACTTGGCTTTTGTGTCAAGGTTTCTCTGTGTTACAAGAAAGCAATTTAGAATTGGTTATTTAGAATTCAGATCACTTAGCAAAATGTGATGCCAATGCTTACTCAGGTTAACACATACACAGTTGGGTTTTATCATTAGCTTTTGGTGAAACTCTTAAAAATACATATATAGCTTAAAAATATATTTTAATATGAGTGTGTAAATATATATACACACACAAAACATATATATATTTTTTAATATGTGTGTATGTATATATATATACACACATATACACATACACATACACACACAAAACAGCCATGCTTTCAGAAATTCAGGTAGAATTCAATGTAATCTCATTATACCTCCAATTTCATCAAAGCATATCTGATGAGAGGGCTATAGGGCCAGAAACACATTTACTTTTCCAAAGACAAGATATGCATTGTTACTCTTATTAGCAGCCATTAGATCTATTTTGATCTTATGCACAACCAAATGAAACACTGCCCAGTCCTGCATCATCCTCCTAATTGCCAGCATGTTTGAGTCCAATGCTATGGCTATTTTGCCAATTCACCTCATTGAGAGTTTCCCATGTCCTCACTTGCCCCCTACTTACAAAATATCACATCTTTCTTTAGCAATGGATCCCTCCTAATAATGTCCAAAGCAAGTGAGTTGGACATTGTCCTAAAGTGATCCACAGTTTTCACTGGTAATTTCTGGAAGTAGACTGCCAGGCCTTTCTCCCTAGTCTATCTTCGTCTGGATGCACCACTAGAACTTGTCTCCCATGGGTGACCCTTGCTGGTATTTGAAATAATGGTGGCAAAGCTTCCAGCATTGTAACAACAAGCAAACCATCATAATAAACCAAACTGAAACTCCAGTGGTGGAAAATGTGCACAGAGGACTTTCAAAATGATCTGTTTATAACACAATGCCCCACTTTATACCTATCAAATTAATAAAAATTAACAAACTCCAATAGCAATGTTAAGACTGTTAAAAAATAATAGTAATACATGCCAACACAGCTCTTTGAAAAGCAATTTGGCAATATTTTTAAAGGTATAAATCAGCAGATTACTGGTTAAGAAAGAGCAAAGGCTTTAGAATTAGAATTGGGCTCAAATTCCATAAATGCTAATGACTAGGTCTGGATCCTGGGCTCATTACTTACAATGATCACAGATTTATCTCACAGAGTAGATGTATTATTCTCATTCAGTCCTCTCATGTAAAGTGCTCGGCACATGGCTTAATTAATTGTTGTTGTTAGCTGCCGCTGAGTCACTCCAACATGTGGTGACATGATGTACAACAGAATGAAATGCTGCCCAGTTCTATATATTGAATATCTATAGGTAGAGAATGGAGGGGACCACATTCTTCAGGCTTACAGACAGTTTAAGGGAATGCATAGAGACAATAAAGTATGTGACATATTTTGGAAATGTCTGGAATATAAGATTCATGGGAAATGTAATAAAATATTAAGAAGAAAGGGCATTTCATTAGTTCACAAACATTTAATGAGCACCTGGCATATACAAGACACTGTGCCAAGTGCTACAGATACTAACATATATAAGAAATGATTCCTTGAGAACGTCACAGTTCAGTGAGGAGATTATTAGAAAAGTAAATAAATCAGAGTATAGTGAGAAGTTCAATGTGGCTGAAGCATACAATATTTGAGGTTCTTACAGCAAGAAATTCGATAGGTTATATTACAAAATGCCTTGAATGATAAATTGTTTCCCTGTTTTATGCATTTTTGAACATCAAATACAAATTAACTTTATAGCTGATTTTTGTAAAATTTCAAATAACCAGAACCAGCTCTCAAAATGGACTCTTTTTAGTGTGACATGGAATACCTTGCATATTTTATATAAGGAATCTTGTCCATCTCCTCCTGTGTCCTTAAAGTAGTCATGGGCTGGGAATGTTCGGTTAATATCCCGGGTGATAGCACTGTCCTGGGGAGACTCCTATGGAAACATAAGGAAAGAAGTTAGTGATCAATCATATACTTACATTTGGGTCTCTACAAGTACAAGGTTTTTTCATTTACATGCTTTAAAATGGTTCCAGGATACGACACATGCTATGCTACAACATGGATGAACCTCAAAAATATTATACTAAGTGAAATAAGCCAGTCACAAAAGGACAACTATTATTTGATTCTGCAAATATATAGAGACCAAGTTCTACTAGTAGTTACTATAGATAGGAGGGAGACAGAATTAGGGGATTCATTGCTTAGTGGGCAATGAGCTTCTGTGAATAGCGGTAGAATAATTTGAAAAAGGATAGTTTTAATGGCTGTGTGACATGAAAAATGTAATCAATGCTACTGCATTGTATATGTAAAAATTGTTGAATTGTCAAAGGTTTGTTATATATATTTTATCGCACATATACACAAATGTTGGCAATTCATACATCCGCACATGGATGTCCACAGTTACTGCCTCTTCAGAGACAAGCCACTCAAGCCAAAGCAAAATCAAATGTAAGGGGAAAAAAAGCTACTTGTTTCACTCTATAAGCCTCATCTTATATTCTAACCTTTTTGCAAAGAAGTACAGCTGGTGACCGTCTATTATAAGAGGTAAAATGTGCTATTCAAAATATATTTCCCAAGGAAAATACTCAACTAATCTCAAAGGAAGGAGGTAAAATTCTCCCATCAGAAAAACTGGGTATAAAAACTGCTGTTTTAATGATCCTTTGTCATGATGTCCATATACCAGGTTCTCAAACAGAAAACAGAATTCCCTTAATTGAGTTTTGTCCAAAGGGCAAATAGCATAAGAATGCACATAGCAATTTACTCAATATGAACACTGTATTATCAAATGCCAAGGAACATATTTAAACAGGCTATGGGAAAACATTCACTGCTTTTGCCAATCGAGAAAAATTATTTCTTCTCCTAAAATGAGTAAACTAAAACTGAAAAAGTGTCAATAATGCCAGTAATCCTTGATAAAACATACCATTATCTACTGGTGTACTTACTCCCTTTGTACTACCTTTCCCTTGGTGCATTTTATTTGCTCACATGCTAAAGAACTGAAACAAAGACACATGACCTTCTATTATAACAATTCACTGTCTTCATAACTAGAAGAATAGACCTGATTCTCCTTGATGGGACTACATTATATTCACCATACCATCTAACAGCCTGATATGCCTGTTTAAAGATGAAAAGCAAAAGTGATACTCTTCCCTTATCTAGTAATTTCTCTAGCCTTTTGGATAATCATGTTCCCAGGGCCATGAATATTTTATAGCTGTGAGATTTAAATCTAACACTACCTCTAAAGCCTAAAGTCTTACTTAACCAATAAACTACTTATACCTCCCAAGGATACTGTCAAACTGTTTTCCAAAAAGCTGTGTTGGCATATATTACTACCTATTTTCAACACAGTCTTAACAACAGGTAAGGCAGCTCAGGATCATAATCTCTGACAAAAGAAAAAAAAAATCCAAAGTGTAAACTAAGATTGTACTAGCTTAATGCCCGGTGGCAGCTTATAGGCAGTATCACATGAAGAGGGAACAAAAAACAGAGGTGTGAGTAGGGAGGAAAGGTGTCTCTCTAAATTGAGGGGAGAAAGAAAAGAATTTGGGGAGGCCAAGGTGGCTAAAATTTTGGGGGCAGAATACTGGAGAGGGATAAGATGAACAGGGAGAGAGCTGCAGAGCTACCTAGAGCATGGCCATGAAGCAAAAAAGAAAAAAATGATAAACTGGGCTTTATGAAAATTTCAAATTTTTATTATTCAAAAACCATTGTTAAAAATATGAAAAGGCAAGCCACAGAACAGGACAATATACTAAAACATAAATGCTCATAGATAAGAGTTGTATCCAGAATATATAACTCTTAAAATAAATGTGGAAATAAACAACCTGATTTTTTTAAAAAGGGAAAAAGACTGGATAGTCAGTTCACAAAATATACAAATGGCAAGTAAGCACATGAAAAGATGCCAACATCATTAGTGATCAAGGAAATGCAAACTGAAACCACAATGAGATTCCACTACACACTCACTAAATGCTAAAATTAAAAAGACTCAAGATACCAAGTGTTGGCAAGGATTTGAAACAACAGGAACTGCCATATATTGCTGGTGGGAATACAAAATGATAAACATATTTGAACAAGTTTGATAGTTTCTTGTAACATTAGACATAGACTTATCATGTCCTTCCCCCACCCCCCCAAAAAAAACCCAACCAAAATGCACGCAAAGACAAACTTGAATTTTCATACAGGTTTATTCATAAGAGGTAAAAACGAAAGCAACTAAAATGTCCTTCAGTAAGTGAAGGGGTAAACGAACTATGGTAAATCCAGAATAGAATACTATTCAGCAATAAAAATGAAAAAAACTATTAATATATGCAACAACATGGGCGGATTTCAAAATTATACTATACATTATACTAAATGAAGGAATCTAGATACCAAAGACTATATATGCTATAATTCCATGTATATGAAATTCTAGAAAAAGTCAAAGTGTAAGTTATAGAAAGCAGGTCAGTGTTTAGTAGGGGCTAAACATATGGGTAAAAAAGAACACATCTATCCTGGAAGAAGTTTATCTAGAATGCTCCTAGGAAGTGAGAATGATCAGAGTTCATCTCACCTACTTTGGTCAAGCGGTCAGAAGGGGCCATTCCCTGGAGAAGGATATCATGCTTGGTAAAGTAGAGGGTCCGTGAAATGAGGGAAGAGCTTCAACAAGATGGACTGACACAGTGGCTGCATTGATGGGCTCAAGTATAGCAAAGACTGTAAGGATGGCACAGGACCAGACAGTGTTTCTTTCTGTTGTATAAAGCGTCACTATGAGTCAGAGTTAACTCAACAGCACCTAACACCAACCACCACCACCAACATGGGTCAAGTAGGAGACTGCCAAGAGGCATGAGGGAACTTTCTGAGGTAATGGAAATATTGTCTATCCTATTTGCAGTGGTGGTTATACTACTGTATAAATATGTTAAAACTCTTAATTATTCATTTAAAATTGGTGATATTTGTTGTATATAAATTACATCTGAATAAAGATGATTTTAGAAAATGGGAATAAAAAGATACTCAAACGAATGAAAAAAGAGACTCAAGTCCTATAGATTTTAAAGAGTTTCCAGTATTATTTTAGAAATATATACAATCCATATTTACATGAAGGACTATGAAACAAGGGGTGGACCTCAGAGTTAGACAAATCCAGGTTTGAACTTGTCTCAGTCTTTTACTGAGATAGCTGGATTCAGAAGAGAATGAAGGTTATCATTTCTGATATCAAATAGCTCTTAGCTGAATACCAGAAAAATGTTTACTTGTGTTTTATTGATGATAAAAGGCATTCATCTGTGTAGATCATAGCAAATTATGGATAACATTTCAAAGAATAGGAATTCCAGAACACTTTATTGTGCTCATATGGAACCTATAAACAGACCAAGAAGCAGTCATTAGAACAGAACAAGAGGATATTGCATGGTTTAAAATCAGCAAAGGCGTGCATCAGGACTGTATCTTTTGACCATACTAAATCAATTGTATGGTGAGCAAATACTCTGAAACACTGGACTCTATGAAGAAGAATGTGGCATTCTGATTGGAGGAAGACTCATTAAGAACCTGTGATATGCAGATGGTAACAACCTGATTTGCTGAAAGTGAAGATGCCTTGAAGCACTTACTAACGAAGATCAAAGACTATAGTCTTCAGTATGTATCACACCTCAACATAAAGAAAACAAAAGTCTTATAACTAGACCAATAAGTAGCAGCACAATAAATGGAGAAAACACTGACGTTGTCAAGGATATCATTTTACTTGGATCCACAATCAACACCCATAGAAGCAGTAGTCAGAAAGTGGTATGATATATCACACTGGGCAAGTCTGCTGCAAAAGACCTCTTTAAAGGGTTAAAGAGCAAAGATGTCCCTCTGAAGATTAAGGTGCCCCATGGTATCATCAGGGAGCTCTGGTAGCATAGTGGCTAAGACACTTGCCTGCTAATCAGACGGCTGGCGGTTCAAACCCACCAGCCACTCCTCGGAAGGAAGGTTGGGCAATCCTACTTCCGTAGTGATACTGCCTCAGAAACCCAAGGAGGGGTCGCTATGAGTCGGGTTTGACTCGACGGCACATAACAACAACAACATGGTATCATCAATAGCCTCATATGTATGTGAAAGATGGACAATGAATAAGAATTGGTATCTTTCCATTGCGGTGTTGGCAAAGAAGACCGAAAATACCACTGACTGCCAGAAGAATAAATCAATCAATCAAGATAGATACAAGAAGTATGGCCAGAATGCGCCTTAGAAGTGAGACTAGCGAGACTTTGTCTTCCGTACTTTGGATGTCAGATGGAACCAGTCACTGAGGAAGGAAATCATGCTTAGTAAGAAAGGGGAAGACCCTCAACAAGACTGATTGACACAGAGGCTGCAACAATGGGCTCAAGATTGGGAAGACAGCACAGGACTGAGCAGTGTTTCCTTCTAGGGTTACCATGAGTCAGAACTGATCCAACAGCACCTAACAACAACAGTCTCTTACTAGCTAAACAACTTTAGGCAAGTTTCTTATCTTCTCTGGCTAATATCTACCTTATAAAGTTGCTGTAAGTTTTACCCTGTGTCTGTGTATGTATGTGTATAAATAAATAAATTCACACACACACACATTTATAAAAATGAAATATAAAAAGTCCCAAATAGAGTATTTCTTCTGACATCCATTTTGTTCTTTTCTTCTTTTCCTTCTTTTTAATGACCTTTTACTTTCTTCATGTATAATGTTCTTGATGTCATTCCACACCTTGTCTGGTCTTCGGTCACTGGTGTTCAATGCATCAAATGTTTCTTCAAATGGTCTCTATATTCAGGTGGGATATAATAAGGTCACATTTTGGCTCTCTCTGAATTTTCTTC